GCTGACCTTAGCTGCAAATAAATATTACTATCTTAACTATTTTGATGGAGATGAAAACACACAATCCACTTCATGTAAATGCAGTTGTTTGACTATAAATGTGCCTCTGGCAGATCTAATTTACTCTCAGTGCCCCAGTATACAGGATTTCTATTGATAAAATTAATATAGTAGAATATTACTTCCTTCCAATCAGGGTAGTCATTGAGGAACAGAAAAGGGCTAAACGTTGGAAAGTTTTCCAGGCGGCATGGGGTGTGGGGAAGCAGATTCAAATGGGGTTGACTGTGCTGGTGCGGCCCTGGGTGGCGCTGTTGGCTCAGGTAAAGCTAGGGCTCCCTAAAACGCTCCTGCCTCCCCTCCACTGCCGCTGCTGGCATTAGGCACAAAATGCTGCTGCAGAAGGAGGTCTGAAGAAGAACCAGCAGCCCCGACCTCCCAGAGCCTCCGTGGGCTGTCAGAAAAGCCAGAACCTGCATTTCAATTCCATGAAAATGTCCAATCTTTTTCCTTTCCCCCCCCAACCACTGCAAATATTTACAGGCATCCCTTAAAGCCATGGACAGATAGGTAGAGCAGAATGGATCTGTACAATGAAGTACACGTGCAGGACTAGGCTGTTAGCCTATGGATCTGTACATACTGTAGGAGAGGAGAATTTTAAGAGCATACTTAAGAAATTGTATTTGAATGAAAGTCACAAAACATTTTTGGTCAAGTGTTAATTGAGAGTCCTCTCCAGGGCTTATACCTTATTGCATTCTTATAAGACATTCCTATATCACTTCAGATACTTCTGCTAGCCTATGCATGCAGAAATGACAAGTAGATGCAGAGATTACTGAGATGGCTTTAACCAAGGCTTTTCCATTTTGTTTGACATGCTTCTTCATGCTTGTGCCACTGGTGGCAGGTGGCTACATAAGCCTTGCGTTTCCTTCTGTCTTTGGAAAGGTCTGACATTTTACATGGAGGTTGTAATAAAACTTTGGGATGAAATTTCATTCTCTGCCTCCTTCCTTTCCATTTTGGAAACTTAAATAGATCAAATCTGTCTCAGGAGCAGCTGGGAAAACTTCTTTCTACCACAGATGCAGCTTAGAAACACAGAGGTAGCCCAGCCCCATCTTGCAAGTTGTATTGGAAGAGGTCTACAGAAGGCAGCAAAAGGATTTTTTGGAGAGCATATGAGTAACTGTAGTGCCAAATTTCCAAGAGATCCAAAATAACTTTCTTTTTTACACATTGTGAAACTACTCCAAGCCTCTCAGAACAAGCGCAGTTGGTACAGTCTGTCCTATACAATGACAAATTGACTTCAAATAGATCACAGGACCTTGATCACCACCTCTGTAGAGTCACCTATTCTTAAATGATAGAGCCTGGGGAATTGTCAAGAAAGAGCTTACGCAGACTTTATACTTCTCTGCTCAAAAAGCATCCTGTACAGAAATGGAGAATGACTATGCTTGATGAATTAAGGCCATAAATTGAGCCTCAACCTCATAACTATTGATCAGATTCTCTTCAGGCTCACTGGGAACATTACTGCTCTATTAGAATTTTATGGCTCCTTTGTTAAAGATACTCTCATCAGTTTTACTCACCTTCCTCAGTGGAAGACATTAACTTGTTGGAGAGTGTCCAGAATAGGGTGTGAAGTGTAGCACTGGCTCTAAAGCAAGCTATTAAGACGGAAGCGGGTGAATTTATCTGCAGTAGCAGCACAGGGAATATTCAGAGGACAGTGACACAGTGCCCCATGGTACCAGCTCAGATATTTAACTGTAAAAGACCACCCCCACCATTGCAACATACATTAGAAACACTAGCTGGTCAAGCAGGCAGTGTTGTTCAACAGCAACACCTACGCAGCCTGGCAGAGTCCAAAGTTTGCATGGGCTCCCACTCAAAATCAAAGCACTCAGAACCAGAACCCAAATTCTACAAGCATATTCTTATAGGAATAGGAGGCCAGCAACAATGGGCTCACATATTATTTCATGTTTTACATTATTATTATTTCACATATAGTGAAACCAGGCTTTTCCTTTCCCCTCCCATCTGACATGCATATTAGTCCCAGAAAGTATTGTCCAATTACATATTTGCTAATCCCAATTGCTAATCCCTCCTCAGAGAGACTGTTCCACATGCTGGTAGATCTATCACCTTGTTAATTTACAATTAGTATCCACCATTGCTTCCACAGTACAATAGCTGTACTACTTGCATGGAGAACACTAGCATAGATAAGACTACAGAATGTTCAGTCTTTTGGGGGGGACACTCCTACATATGTTGCTTAGAATCACTCTGCCTTTACTATTTTTGTGTCACATCATTAACTCAAGCTCATTTGCTGACTTCTGGGTCTTTTTCAGCATGACAGCTCTCCTATTTCTCACTGCCAGAGACCATCTGGGTTTCAAATTATTGGATCCCACCTTCTCAATTTCATGTGGTGCTGATTATTTTACAATGGCTTTAATGTGTTCTCTTCTTGCTGGAACTGTGAATAGCAGCAGTCCGGTTAAATCACAAAGCAAGGCTCCTATCTGGCAAAATACTTACAGATGGTGAGCTGTACACAGCTGAGTGGCAGGAGTGAGTGGTGAAGACACTGCAAATGGAGCAGAAGCAGCACATGCCCATCTCTGGGAAAGCAGCAAAGTTAGGAAGGGTACACATGGTGGTCTAAGCATCTTGCCATCCAAAGGGAACTTGGGCTCCATGAGAAATGGAAACCTGAAGTAAGCAAAGAGAAAGAACAAGATACATCGTTAGGGCCTGACTTTATAAATGTAACCAAATGTAATGCCCTAGAGAACAGTATGGAGAGTTAACTTAAAACAGGACTAGGAGTAGCAAATACTTGCAAGTTTTCTTTGCACTATA